ACTCGATCGGGAAAACAAATGAACAGCAATCAGCTGACACTGGGGCCAAATAGTCACCACGGACAAAAAACCATTTATCCTTCCATCTCTTCGAGCTAGGACATTGGGTCGATGGAATCTCACGAGCGCTTCTAGAGCTCACCCTTCTTTCCTGGTCAGATTGGTCAAAAACCACCGCACTCACGCCAGACGCACTGCTGCTGGGTAATGCGGATGCTACAGTTGCCCTGCCTGATTCGGATGAAGGTGTTAGGGCAACCGTCGCGGCCGTGCTGAGATATCCAGTGCAGCCACGTTTAAAACACTATCCACAGGTTCGGTTGACTACGCCCCATCATGTTTCGACATGTAGAAAAACAAATTCTTTCTTAGTAGAGTAGCTTTTAGTTCAAAAAAATTGGCGATAACCCCCGGGTGAAGCACGGAACCCCCGCCCACTTGCCTCCATGCCACGTAACATCCAAGAAGGGTGGCTCATCCATTTGACACCAGTTGTGCCAGGGCCAGATGGAAAGAACTTAAGAAACACTGAATAAAGGAAGGTAAAGGTAAAGGTAGTCTTACACCACAATCGAACATTTTTTTTTGTAAAATGCTACTTCCCCTCGTGGCGGACATGTCATTCATTCCCCTTTGTTAGGCACTTGAAGATGTATAGTAGAAGGAATCTCATACATATCTCGAAGTACAGCAAGGTCTTTCCGAGTAATGGAGGACTGTACACCCTCGTCATCTGGAAAAATCATTCGAGTGGGGTAGCGTGCTGCACCCTTTCTGACCTACCCAAGGTGCTCGCCTTCGGGGAAGAACGCAATGCAGAGGCTTGTTCAGAACCATTTGAAGCCACCCATGTCTCCATAAACGAATCTAAGGGACTCAACCGTTAAGTGTTGTCGGAGCTCGACATGTCCGCGAAAACAAATTAAAAACTCAAAATAAAGGGATGGGAAAGAAAAAGAAAAAGAACGTCAATAACTTACTAGAATAATGAGCGAAAGCAAAGGCGAAGATGAGGAAATATGTAAAAATACCTTTGAAATCTGAGTGTCCAATAATAATGTCAAAGATGCAAAACAGAAGTAGCAATAAGAAAAAAAAGGGGAGAGGGAAGGAGAACAAAATGTAAAAACTAAACGAAGAAGAAGGATGAAGGTGCAGGTAAAAATTTAAAATAAAAAATAAAATAAAATAAAATAAAAGAAGAAGAAGAAAAAGAGAGTGGGAGGAGGAAAACACGTTTTCAATCAAAGGTAATTAAAGGAGGTCAAATCAGAGGTAATTAAAGGAGGGTGGAAAATCAAAGCTCAATGATGGGTTTTGAAATTTAAATTTTACCACCCCCTACATGGTTGAAACGTGGCATTAAAAAAAAAGAAAAATTGTACAGCCACCATGCCCGCCCCCACTCATTTCTTTCTCTAAGTACACTCCTGAACAAAAGTGCTAAAGCTTTCAGATCAGAAATGGGGGGCCACTGTTAGGATGTTATGAAAAAGTCTTACACGGGCAGGTACCACCACGGTCCATCGACCCATTCCATGCACTCCCAGCGTGGCAAACACACCGCCACAGCGGCCCATCAGCCCAATACTCACACGCCTAGCACGTGCCACCACCAAGGCCGTACAATCCTTCTCAGCACCAAACGAGTGCACCCCAATTGTCCGCAGTGCACCTTTTTCAATGCGAGAAGCACGACCTTCGTGCAATCCTTCCCGAGCAAAGCGAGCGCTACCCAAGCGGTCGTGGTGCCCCCTTCTCCTTTGTGGTCACCACAGCCACCTTTGCTAGAGCATGAAGCGCACGCCACCATGGCGGCCTACTACTCTACACACCTTCGTGCCATACCTAGTGTCGTGCGCACGCCTCCACCGTAGGCATCTTAGCCCGGCCATATTACTTGGAAGGAAATACATCTTCTTCCTCCCTCCATGAGCCTATAAAGACGAAGATCCCAGTCAAATTGAGGTTCAACGACAACTCACTACACTTCTACGCAATTCTCTTTCTTTCTTGTTATCAAGTACTTAAGCATCAGAGTGTATGTCAGCACCTCGCCGGCATTAGCTCACATTTTCTTTGTGCAGATCATCTTCGATCCAACCATTCGAGTCAAGAATTCGTCTTCCCCCTATTAACAACCCATCGGGTCAAATTCGAATCACCCGGTTCGATTGGCCTCGACATTTTATGCATCAACAGCACACAATTAACCAACTGATAACATCGAGAACAAAGGATCTTCAAATCAAAATTTAATCATATTAAATAGATATTATTCTTTCTGAAATATTTATAAGATATAAAAGATCAATAACACAAACCATACTATGGGTTCCATCTCAAAATCAATTGACAATGAGATGAGTAGCTCAATATTGGATCGGATCCCATTTTTGGATCGAGTGCTCATTTGAGGTTTTTGGACTCATGATGAATAAAAACCACTCAACCGAAAATCAAAATCGTAAGCTAATGAGTTGGGTAAATTTAATTCATATATTGGATATCTAACCGTCCACTTGTGGGCTTGGAACATTGCACAAAAGCCCAACGAGTGGAAATCATAATAAATTGGGAGGAAACGACAATGCAGGGGTTCAGACACAGGACGTCCTCTCAATTGATCTATTGCGATCCACGTCTCGTATACAGGGTTTTAAAGTGGGGGAAGAAGATATATGAGATGGCATGACTTGTCTCCCACAAGATAGTCAAACGACTTGTAGCTTCTCAGGATAGGCCAAATTTTGCCACAGTAGGAAGTTCCCTTTATCCATTTTAATAGAGGTGATTTGATTTAGTAGTTGATTCAATTACAGAGACGGCCACTCACTACTGCCGAGTGTCATGGTTAGATTGGGTAAGTTGGAGATGGTCATAAACTGCTCTAATATCAAGTCATATTTATGGAGTTTGATCTCAAAACTAATTGGCAATGAGAGAAGTAGCTCATGTCTATTATAAATACTCAGATAGGTCCCTTCGATGCCTCTTTTGAATTCATTAGTTTTGGACTGAATTCCATTTTTGAGTCGAGCGCTCGTTCGTACTTTTTGGACTCAGTTAAGAAACAATTAACATAGAAATTAAATAAAAAACTACTTCTTTGAGTGTGTTAATTGTTTTCTTAACGAACCGCAACTTGAGTCGTGCAGTCCGGTGGCAGAAATTGAATACCTGCATGAAAAAGTAATCTTTATTAAGCTTTCTTTTTCTTAAATCTTAATAATATCGATAAAAAAAAAGTGGTATCGAGATTTGTTAACTTTAAACAGCAAAACAGTGTGAATTGTGATGGAAATTTACGAGAAACAAAAAAAAAAAAAAAAAAATCAGAGCTGAATACGTAAGAATTTATTGTCTTTTCTCCCATTGGCGATTAATCCTCAAAGACTTCCCGTATCTGAGGATAGTCAAGTAAAATTATCATCTTTAATCTCTCTCTTGACGCTTATATGAAAGATTGTGAAGAGATTATTTCTTTGAAGGGCTGCAGAGAATTGCTTTGATAAGCTTGTGCTTGATTTATGGGAGCTGGAGAATGAGTACCTGCGGCGGTGGCGACATTCCCATTCCTATGAAGGACTGCGTGGCGGAGCTGCTCATGTTCATTCTGCAGTCTTCCATAAAAGGAACTCTAGACTTCGATTTGGGTCTCTCTGGTGGCTTCTGCTCTGCTCTCCTTCAACATGATCCTTCCACTTCCAACCCGTTATCACACTTCACAGCAGGTAAACAAATAGAGCCTCTGTTGGATTTTCGCAAAATATTAGAATTGAAGCTTGTGCCCTCCAAGTGCGGTTTGGGATTAGGTCTCCTGATTCATGATATTTGTTCTCTCTTTATTAATTCTTTTCTAAAGCAGCATTGTCCTTCTACTTTGATCAAGCTCGACCCCATTTCCCAGAATCATGGAAGACTTTTCCAGAGCTGCGAAACTAACGACTCTATTAGAAAGTCAAATTACCAACTTTTACACGAATTTTCAAACTGAATGAGATAATCGACTTACATAACCATATCTTTTTTTATTTTTGTTTTTATTGATATATTAGGTTTGTGTTTTGTGTAATTGGGGTTAGAGAGAAATTTGTGTAATTTTTCACATAGTAGAATAGTTTCCACGTTAATTCGTGTGGTTTTTCTTGCTTTCCTTAAATTTCTCAGGAGAATTTTTCCTGTCAGCCTCCTCATGCTTGCCTTGTTCTATTGGAGGAGACGAATGCCCTGTTTACTTAAAGAGTTTCTTTTCATGCCCTTTTCAGGCTGTCAATAGTTCATTAGGATGACTTTTTTATTTAGCACGATGGCATGACCACAAAATTGTTTGGTCTTTTTTGAAGGAGTGCCTCCATATCCTTTATACAAGCGTTTAGCATCAGCTTTGTGGGAATCCCTGTGTTCTGGCACCTTCTGTCCAAATTATAGGAGAATGTCAATGATGACTGGAGAAAGTTCTTTGAAGCAGAAAGAGCAAGAATGGCTGAAGCTGATTATGGATAAGGGGTTAGAAATGGTGCAGGTAAGTGATGGATGGCAATTTCTCTCTTGAAACATTAACTGATAAGACCAACTTTTTAAAAGATTCTTTTATTTCAGCAGATACTGAAGACTGTAATCCTTGAACTTTATGTTGATGAGCCTTTCTTTACGCAGCTAAAAGGTATTGTGAATTGAAAGTCAACGTTAATCAAGAGCAATAGGTTTCTCCAAAGTTCCTTGGTTTGTTTATTCATCATTTCAATACGGATTGCCTTCTAAATTTGTTTGTAGATGGCCAAAAATCAATTGAAGCAAAGTATGATTTGGGCAAATATGATAGGTATTCCTCGTTATCACATGATCATCGTATAATTTTAATTTCAACTCTCACTTTAAATATGACTAAGTTAAAATATGACTAAGTTAAAATGATATCCTAACAGCCTCAGGGGCAGCCAGTTGGCAAAGGTAGGGGCCTCTTGGTCGTATTAGTTTATAAGTCTCAAGTTTGAAAACCCTTAATGTTTCACGAATCCAGGCCTTGGGACGGGTGCAGGTGTCCCAGGTGTCCCTGAGTATAGGAGAGCAAAGCTCCGACTCCGAGTCATTAGAAAACAAAAAGAAAGATGGTATCTTAACAAATATTATTTACTTGGGTCCATACTCCATAGTTTCCTTATCAGTGTAGCTCTCCTGTTTTGATTTATGCTAGTTTCTTTTTTTTTTTTTTTAAATTGTAAATTCCTGTTTTTGATCCAGCCTTTTCCCCTTTCCTTCCTGACTGCAGACTTGAACCAGGAATGCTAATTATGTTCAATAAATGTCTTGTATTTGAAATCTCGGTAAAATGTGTTCTTGCTTTCTACTTTGTTTCCATTTGGTTTGGCTTTATTCTCTGTAACTTGTGAAGTATTGAAGGATGTTCGCCGGTATGTGTCATTTTCTGATATGTTGGAGTCTGAAAATCTTCAAAGCATTCTGCCTGGCGTTGAAAGCATAGACGAAGGTAATCTATCTATACAACCTTTGCTTGACCATTTAAATAATTATACAACATTTTTCATATTGGCAAATGTACTACTACATCGTAGCGTATATGTAATATTTTTGAAATTTGGATCAAATTTCAGATGATATTTAAAGCTCCATTTGGTTTGTGATCTAAGAACAAGGCTTTAATCATCGTATTTCTTGAACCTGAAAATGGATTTTGATAGCAGAATCTGAAAGCAGATTCTTGAATTTGAAATCTGGAGAACTATGTTTGTGATTGAATTTTCAAAATATAGTAAATAGAGTGTGTTTGGCAGAATCTACTTTTTGGAAAATGGTAAAATAGAATTTTCTTTTATGAGAGCGGGAGAGAATTCTTATAGAGAGAAACTATGCTCTATGTGAGAGACATAAGGTTCCATATTGTTGAAATTTTACTCTACTTTCACAATTTTAAAATATTGAATTTAAAAACGAATTTAAATATCACTCCCATGGGTAGTTGGTTGGCAAGAGTTTGGAGTCTCATGTTCATATTAGCTTAGAGGTCTCAAGTTAAAACCTTCCAGTGAGCTTAATATAAAACATTCTTAATGTCTCTCGGGTTTGAGTCTTGGGGCGGTCACGAGTGCCCCTGGGTATAGGGGAGCAAAGATTCGACTCCCAATTTTTAAAAGAAAAGAAAAATGAAGAAAATATCAAAATGAAGTCTAAAATATTGACGTGACCAGATCACTGTTTTTGGAATAATTGATGAAAATAAGCTTGCCAAATGAAATTTTAGGATATTTATAGTATTCCTTGTTTCCCAAAACATAAAAGCAGAGACTGATTAGATATCAAATAATCACCAAGTTTTAGTATAATCAGAAAAATGTACTACTTACTACTTAGAACATCTTTGCTAGTTATTCTTGTTGACTCAAATAGAACTGGTTTATTTGGTGAAATAATTCATTAAAAATCAACTTTTATGGGGTTGCTTCTTTTATGCATTTCATGTTCTTCTGGGAAATCATGAACATTGACAGGTTTAATTTAATTCAACCATAAAAGATAAGATCAGTAACTCTGGCAAAGATAGAATATTTGAGAAAGAGAATAATAAAAGGGAAAACAAAACTAAAGAAAGAAGTAAACAGAGATGGAGAAGTTGTTTAGAATTCAAACCATGAAGTTATGTTAGTGAACGATTATGGTGCACATATCTTCAGGTTTGCAAATTATAAAATATTTGAACATAGAAGACGAAGAAATGGCTGACTGTGTTCTTGCTATCTGTATTTCAAGCGTGCCATTTCAGCCTTACATTTCCTTTGCTTCAATAATCTCAGTGAGTTTTCTTTCTTGCTAAAATTTATGGTTTCACCTTACCATGATCGTCACGTACTTGTCATTTTGAATATTATGAACTAAATCTCGATTCGAATTAAACTATCTGTTTGTCCAAAGTCATATGTCCATGTTGCGTGCCAGTCACCAAAGTTGCAGAATTTATTATATCAAGTTGTTAATAGTTAGCCCTATGTTGTCTCCAAAGGCAGCCCAGTTGGCAAGGCTTGGAGTCTCTGGGTCATACTAGCTTAGAGGTCTCAAGTTCAAACCTTCTGGTAAGCTTAATATCAAAAATCATTTATGTCTCCCGGTTCGGGCCTTGGGAAGGGGCACGGGTGCCCCTGTGTGTAGGGGAGCAAAAGTTCCGACTCCCAGTTGGAGGGAAAAAAAAAAAAAAGAAGAAGTTAGTCCTATGTGTAGTTAGTTTATATTTCACATAAGAATTTTTTTAATGATAAGGATATTAAAGTAGTATCAGTGTACATGATGAGGGTATGAGTTCAATTCAGCTAGTCCTTCAATTATGTTTTGTGAATTGTGAACATTAAATTCTACTGCCCAACTTCTTAAGGCTTGAAGCTTTAGGATAGAGCTAATAACTTTTGTCTTCAGATTTTGTGAGGGTTTAAATGGTATAGTGTATCCTTGTGATTCACTTTGCTGCAGATAAAATTATGTACCCACTACCTAGAAATGAAGACAATCTCCTATTGCCATGAAAATATTTTGTGTAGTCACTTGAATTTTCTATGGCCCAACTTGAAAAGTTTGCGGCGCAACATTAAAAAATAAAAAATAGAAAAAGAAAAACCATGTGATGCAGTGGAAGGATCAAGCTTACAGGTTTTTATTTTTATTTTTACTTTTTAGAGTCGTTAAGGATTCCACGTTGAAAAGAGACTTAACAAGGTTTATAATATAAGTGGACTACTCCTCTCATTGTCAATTGGTTTTGAGATGGAACCCATGAACATTAACATGGTAGCAGAATCTAAAAAGCTCAAACGAGCATCAGACCAAAATCGATGAACCAAAAGAGTCACGATCTTGAGGGGCATGTTAAAGATCCCACCTTGAAAAGATAAGGGACCTAACAAGGTTTATAATAAACATTGGCTACTTTCACTGCCAATTGGTTCTGAGATGAAACCCCATGAATATTAATAAGAATGATAAAGCTGATAGGTTTATTGTTTAGGTTTGGAGTTTTTCGGTTCATTGTATTGACATACTGGTAGCACATTTTAGATTCTTGTACCAATTTTCATTCTTGAAGATTCCTTCTATTTTGGCTTGTGGCTTTAATTAGGAAGATTTTTTCACATAATATCTGGGTTTTTGTGATGTCTTCTTTATTTTTCCATCTGTAGTTTCCTTTTCACAACAGTTCTCATATAGAGCGGATTTTTGCATTGACATTACCATATATAGGTGCATGGTATCTAGTTTGTTTTTGATTATCTATTTCTCTAGTCCAGGGGCTGAGTTATGAAGGTCTTCAAGCTCTTCTAGGTTTGACACATACCACAGGAACGGTTGCTGATGCGCTTCCCCCACCAAGATCAGCTCTTTTATCATCATTTATGATTCCATATAAACCCGAGGTTCGATTCTATATTCCGTGATGAGTCGCTTCTCTTTTTCTCCCAAGCAAACAGAGTTATAATACATGTTGCTGGTTCAAACCCCATGATGGCCACCTACCTTAAGAATTAGTAATTCCTATGTGTTTCCGACACAAAATGTTGTAGAGTCAGGCGGTTGCCCTATGAGATTAGTCGTGCGTGTAAGCTGGTATGGACACTCACGGATATCAAAAAATACATGTTGCTGGTGTAGTTTTATTGGTTCTGTTTAGTTTACTTCAAGTGTTCAGAAGTTTGGAGATATCTGTTATTGTTAGCACTGAAATCGGATTACAATATCAATGAGAAATTACACGGGTAATAGCCACAATTAAGGTTACGGTTGGTTTTGATTATGATATTAAGGTTGTCAAGAGCTTCTCTTGGGTGAAGTCTCCGATAAAATCAGGACCAAATGAAATGACACAGCTCTTGTAGAACTTGTAAGAGAAAATCATTACCACAGCAAAATCTGTGTCAAGCAGAATGAAAAATATGACAAGAATATCCTCATTCTATTTGCATCACTGAGGGTACCTTGTAACTTTTAGTGAAAACTTTATCTCTTTTCTCAAAAGGAAAATGTGGAAGCAATAGCAAAGTGCTTCCCGCCCTCAAGGGCAGCTTAGTTGGCAATGACTTGAGATCTCTGGGTCATACTAGTTTAGAGGTTTTAAGTCCGACCCTTCTGGTGAGTTTAATACCAAAAACCCTTGATGTCTCCCGATTTTGGGCCTTGAGGCGGGCGCGGGTGCCTCTAGGTACAGGGGAGCAAAGCTCTGACTCCCAGTTATTAAAAAAATATATATATACCAAAGTGCTTCCCAAAACATATTCACTGTTTCTTGGTGGTGTATTAATTACGGAAAATTTTTTTGTAATATCAACCTCTCCTTGTTCATGAACAATTGGAAAGAGTTGGTCTAGGTTTTGGGTGGGGTTGCCTCTACCCAGCCGGTTCGCTGTATCTTTCTTTTGTGATTAATGAAAGTTTCTCTAAGTTTCTTATAAAAAAAAAAGTGCTTCCCCTGCTGCTCTTCTGCTTCTAAATTCATCCTCAAAATTTCTTAGAAGGAAAAATAGAACCAGTCAGAGAAATCCCAAAGGTATCCACTCAATACAGAGGAAAAAGATCTGGAAAGTTAGACCAAGTTGCTATAGGTTTAGTCTATATGTTCCCTACAGGCAGAGGATGAAACCATTCGGAAAGAGACTTGCAAATTCAGAGAAATTTGGAAAGGTTGGTTTTGGCAAGTCCTAGAACTATTGGATGGTATTTAATGAAGTTTAAAATGAAAGGGCAGAGGTTTAAGGTTATTTTAATGCAGTATATATACATTTATCTTAACGAAGGCCTCAATGATATATTATCTCTAAACCATCTTGGGTGGCTCATTGGTCCAAAGGGGCTAGGAGAAATTGAGAGAAAATGGATTCCAACCCAGGATGGCCACACCTACTTTAGGAATTAATTTTTATGTGTTTTCCGTCATCAAATATTGTAGGGTTAGATAGCTGCCTCATGAGATTAGTCGAGGTGCACGCAAGCTGTCAGACACTCACGAATATCCAAAAAAATGATATATTTAGCCCTCTCTTCTATTGGGGCTTATTCTTTTTGTAGCCTCTTTTGTGTACTTCCATTTATCTGAATGAAAGTTGCCTTCTTATTAGAGAAAAAGTAATATTTGTTTTATGTGATTACTATGTTGCCCAATTATGAAAGTTAACTTTTTTTATGGATTGAGGGTAAAGGCATAAAGTTGACTATTGGAGCTAAGGCCTTGGCAAAGCACCACCATAGATCCAGCTCTAAATATTGGGGTACTTGTGATGGAAATGGTGAGTAGTTTTTAATACTATCATTGTTATTTTATTTTATTTCTTTCAGTTCAATATTTAATTTTGGTTGTTAAATGATGTTTTCTATTGTTTTATTCATGAGGATTAAGGTCACTTATATTCTTGTACTCAATTGTTTTATTTTTCTGACCATAAAAACCATACCTGGTAAGTCATGATTCCATAAACTTCTTTGGTTAGCTAAGATCTCATTTGTTAACTATTTTATTTTTAGTTCTTTAATAAAAAAGTTAAGCATATAAAAACTACTTCCACCCATGTGTTTCTTTGTTTTATCTACTTTTTAATAATTTTTTCAAATTCTAAGCCAAATTCTGAAAACTAAAAAAAGTAGTGCTTAAAAACTTATTTTTGTCTTTGAAATTTGGTCAAGAACTCAAATTTGTTTTTAAGAACGGTGAAACATAGCTCCTAAGAGACAGTCTGGAAATACCTTAGGGTCTCTTGATCATACTCAAGTCTGAACTTTTCGGTGAGCTTAATACCAAAAATCCTTGATGTCTCTCAGGTCTAGTGCCCTGGAGCAAAGCTCCAATTTCAAGTTATAAAAAAAACATATAAAAAAATTGTGTCGAAGCAAAAAATAAAAATGAAATAGTTATCGAACGAGGTTTAAATAATGATGAATATTTGAAGCTAAAAATTATGTTGGACCTAAATGTATACAGATTGTCACTCTATTGCGACTAGTACTTGGACGTTTCAAAAGAATGATTACTAGTTTCTATATAACTTATAAGAAATCAAAAGGATTGAAGTTCATTTGATATAAAAAGATTGTGTAGTGTACTTGACTGATCATCCTTTGCACAACAATCTGTTTCTCCAGATTATGATAAGAATAAGCTTGCTATGAATAGCATTCTTGACTTGATAGCTCATTGTTGCTGGTTGAATATTCATATTGTTCCACCACATGGGATAGTTTTCGAGATAAGAATAGCAGAAGGGTATGGTGCCAGATGGTCAAAAGATGGAAACAAGGTATCGTTCTCATACAACACCTTTCTCTTGTTTATATATTCTCAATTTATGTTTGGTAATGCCATAAAGTTATATGAAAATTACTGTTTTCCAATTTTTCAAGGAAAGAAATGTTTTTTTAGTACAACACGTGGGATGGGGATTCGAACTCACAGTCTTTTTGGTTAGGGAATAGGTGTCATTACCGTTGAGTTATGTTCACTTTAGCTCATTTATTCCTAATTTTACAACATTTTGAGGAAAGAATAATTTCCAACATTTCTTTCCTCAAAATGTTGGAAATTATGAATAAATTCGTTTAACAAATTTTAAAGATTCATAGCTCTTCTTGGGGAGTATGTCCTTCGTAAGAGACACAACTTTAAACGAAAGGGTATGTCCTTTCACCCAGGGACGTGCAACTATTTGAATGCTATAAATATATGGTTTCTTTCAAAATTTCTTCTCTTTTCTATGTAATTGCTTACATACTATCGAGTTCATAGGGTCTTGTAGTTACAGTGTTGTATCCATCATATTCTAGGATTCTCTTGTTCGTTATTCCTTGAACGTCGTAGAGGGAACAAAATTGTTGGAAAAGAAACTACATCTCTATTGGGACGAATTGATTTCATTATGTTTCTTTTTTTTCCTATATTACCAAATACCAACATTAAGAAACTGTACTAAAAAAAAAAATAATAAGAAACTGTATGCTAAGTGAGAGTTTATCCATGGAGAAATTAGTTGACTACTTCTTGAGAGATCATAGTCTTGATAAACTTTTTTCACCATTCAGTTCATTGGATTTCTGGAGCCATACATGGAAGATGGACATTTGAAGGGATGGAAGCACTAATCTTCCTTTGAAGATGATTTTTTAAGGTAATTACTTTTTAATATTTTCACTGTTCTATGCTGTCCTTGGAGTCCCCTTAGCAACAGGAAATGAGATACTTGATTAAAGTAGAATCTTATGTCACATGATGAGATTTGCAAGAACAGTATGTAAGCAATAATTCATCTCTTGGAAATAATTATTTTATCAGCTCAACTATATGAATACCACTTGCAGTTTTGCACCATAATGCACATTTCATTCTCATACTTCATTGCACAGGTAAGCTGTTTCGATTTCATACGATACTATCGGTTTATCATGCTACAATTTGCTGATCTTAGCTTCAGAAAAAGAGTACCCATCATTTCTCAGAAATCCTACCAGATTCCTTCATTCTTTTTTCTCTGATATATGTATAGAACTTCATCTGGGTTTGAATCATATTGAGATGTGTACTGATTCTTTCGGGATTCTTTTCATTACTATACAATGGCCGCAGTTTAGATGGGTTAGATACATATCTTTAAATTATAAAGTTCATTTTATTCCGTCCTTGAAGTAATATGCTTGTATCTCTAATTTAGAAGTATATATTATTATCGGGTAAACTCAAGGTGCCACGTGTCACGGTCATACATTTTTCAACTGCGCGGCGTCATGATCTAAGCTCGACCATGCCCAGCCTTACGAGGAACTCTAGCCCCAATCTATTTTTCGCGCCCTTTGTGGCTTCGTCGGACCTTAGACAAGGTTCTTTCTTCCTCGACTCAGCTTCATTTCGCTTTTCCAACCATCTTGGTTCTCGGCCACTCGGCCCTCCCGCTCCTACGATGAGTCAGGACCTTACCGGGATGAGTTCTGACCTATAACGGGGTCAGAACGAGCTTAAAACGCCAACCGGGTACAATTGGGAGATTCCTGCCGCTTAACTATGTCAAAACTAGCTTATTGGGCCCAACGAACGCCTCTAAGACCATTCATGCCGAGAAACTAGTCAATAACGGGCTAAACGGCCTTACCGGGTACTGCCGGGATGATTCCTGCCGAGATCCGGACAAGGAATGACTAAACTTGGCAATCGTGATGAGTTTTGCCGCTTACGGGCCAAGACTAGCTTTTTCTCACTTACCGGGTGCCCACCAGTACTGTAGGATGCCACCCCGAGCATCGGGATGTCATCGGGCTTTGCTGATCACTTGGGCACGCATACCGAGAACCGACCCATGGACTTGTATTTATGATTGAGACTTTTCGGACATTCATCCATCAGAACATAATTGAGGCACGTCGACTCCCGCAACCGTGCCTTGTCGTTCGAGCATACCATACCGCATAATGGCCCCTATGTGCAACCTCCAGCCCATGGGACGAGGCGCAATGTCGGCATGGTGCCGTCCGACCCTGCCCTTGAGATTCCCATTCTCGAAGGAAGACGCCCAAGACCTTGGTCTTGCAACGCTCGCCCACGCCATGACACACGCATGTGCCATGAGGTAGCTCACTTAAGCCACAGGGCCCAGGGGTGGTAGAGAGCTAACACCATGCCTCCCCCTAAGGTACATTCTAAGGCATTCTTGGTCTGGCAGACATGTACGTGCAAAGTGGTGAGGAGTCACTCGCCAACCTAGAACGCACGTCTGAAATCCGATTGACACGAAACTTAGCGTCCTTGCATATTTCACTTATATGCATTTAACTCTAAAGCCGCTCATCCAAACTCTTGACGGAACCCTTACTTCTAGGGTCATGGCCCGGGGCCCCAACTGGCCCCCACTGAGCTTGTCACCGACACCACTGACATCGCCTTCGCCTTACATTCTGCATATGCCTTCTCTAGGCGTTCTTGAGTACATCCATGGGGTGTGATAGGTGATGCACCATCCTCCTTGGTCGCATCCTCAAAATAGCCCGACGGGCGACATATGCATGTCGCCACCACTTGTCCACTACGTGGGTGTCACAACCTATTCTCTACCAGTATGGTCGTGACACCACGCATTGATAGTCGATCAAGTTAAATGAACTAAAGTAATACTAGAAATTCAAATAGTTGCAAAATAGTAGAAGAAAGTGACTTCCATCTTTTATATCAAATTTACGACATGTAGGTTCTTTGACTACTGAACACACTTTTCCACAAGTTTTTATAAGGTGAATAATATTTCAATGAGGAATTTGTTTACATTTTGTTCATCAACTCCATGGAATAAAAAAATTCAAATCAGTTCCAAAATCATCTGATCTGAGTATAACCAACAAAATGAGAGGAAAGTTAAATCACAAGACCTATGCATATCTAAGATTTCAAAGCTTGAAGTATGAGTCATTGTCAAGAAAAAAAAGACGACGGTATGATAATCTACTGTCCCAACTAAGACGCCCTAGATCCATGTGTACCAATTAAATGTCTAGTTGCACGAGTCATCGGTTTAACCTCGATTAGGGGTGACGTTGAACATGTTTTAGGGATTATCTTTTAAACTTCAAAAGTATATATCAGACTCGACGTCATGTGATCAACTTTTTAATGGTTGAGGCCCTCGTAACAACATGTTTTGGTTTTTTTTCTCCTCAAATCAAAGGGGGAGTGACAAATTTTAGGGAGGAAAGAAAATTGAGAGAATAATAAAATATGATTTGATTGTATTCCTTTTTCTTCTCCCTCTTGATACAAACAAACCATCCTATTTTATAATTCATCATAAATAAAACATTTAAATTAAAATAATATCTAAAATTAAATGTAATTTCAATTCCGATCCTAATAGAAAATCTAAATTATCTAAATCTTAAATCATATCACTTTCACATCATAAATGAATAGAAGATGGGGAGGACGGACTAAATTATATATATATATAAAGTTTCATCGAATCGACCTGAACCAGATTTTCATATCCGCTTAACCGAACTGATTTGGTTCTTTTCTCTCTGCCCGAAAATCAAACGAACTCAAAAATTTGTAACCCCTTTAGGTGAGTTTAGAATTTAATTTAAAAAATCACTTGGACTATTTAACTAAAAAATTTGGCACTTCTTACTCGAGTCATACAACCCACCATTAGCATCGGAAACACTTCTTGTAATAAAACTTGATAAACAAGGGCCGTTTGATAATGACTTTATTTTTCAAAATTTATTTGGATTCTTGTTTCTTGAAAAAACAAAAGAACAAGAAACTGAATTTATTTTGATTTTTGCTTCTTAAAAAAAATAAAAGAAGAAGAAGAAACTGAAGTAGAAATGAGTTAAAATGTTATCAAACAATAGCTATAAAAAAAAAATAAGAAAAAGAGTTAATTTGTTTCTTATTTGGTACATTGGGTAGGGGTAAGGCAGTTGATATGTCACAATCTGTTTCTTGAGTGGGCATCAAATATTGCTGATAAAGATGCACCGACTTTGTCATTTGACTTCAATGTATGTTTTTTTCTTTCTTACTATGTACTCTTATGTCACTCTTGGTCATTAATATAATGCATCAAATTTTCTTTTTTTTTTTCCTAATTTTTTTCTAATTCTTCATAAATGATATTTTTGTTAAGGATCCAACGCGAAAAAGATAAAGGACCTGACAAATGTTTAATTATAGTATACATGAACTATTCCTCTCATTGTTAATTGATTTTGAGATACAGGTGAATGCTTTGCCAAACTCGTGTACAACTCTTTGAATGTGTATTGATTTTCGCTTAAACCATGCTTGGTTTYCTAAACTCTTTCTCCCCTGACCAAACAAAAAACCATAAAGCCAAGATCTTTACAAGATGTGCAGCAGAGAAGGAAGAAAGAAGAATGCTATGAGAGCTTGGACGGAATAAGGTTTAGGGGAGACCGCCCTTTTCTAACATGTGAGGGGAAGACTAGTAAAAGATTTGAGTTGTAAACTCGAATGAATATTGATATGGTATCAAAGTCCAACAAGTTCAAATGAGCATCTGTCCAAAAATTGAATCTTGTTAAAATTGACGAGCTCAAAAGAGCCACCATCTTGAGGGACATGTTGACTAAGGATCCCACATTGAATATTGATATTTTTGAGATTGTCTTTCTAGCTCGTGAGATCTCATTTAACTTTCTAATTCAATCTTTTTGGGTTGAAAATCAACAAATAGTAAAGAATAAAGATAAATGTGAAAATATTAAAGGAAAAAAAAATGATAATGGTGATATTGATTTATATCAAGATATGTAAATATAAAGTTTTCACTAAAATCAAAGATGGTACAAAGGTGAGAATTTTATTTTATTTATCTTTCGAGTTGAAAGGTGAGGCACTTGTTGAATATAGGAGATAAGTTAAAAACATATTTTGATGATAGTAAATTACAAAAGAAAAAGAGATGACATATTTTAGGTCGACACCCTCATGGGAAAAATGGATAAATGAAAAGAGTTCACTGTCCACTAGGACTAAAAAATGTACAAGGTTGTACGAGTGTGGAAAAGGTTTCGAAAACTGATCCAATCGATCTAAACCGACGAAACTGATGTTGATAAGTTAATTTGATAAATTGATCGATCGGTTGGTCCAATATGTAATTTCCGACCGAAACCGACCGAATGTGTTAAACATAATTGTTGAGGGTAAATCCGAGTAGGACACGTGTCGGGTTGTAGGGACGACAGCAAGGCATGGGACCACAGACGGTTACACACCGCAGGCGAGTGCATCATCACCTCTGTTGTACAACAAGAGCGCTGAACATTGCGATCTGGCTCTCGCAGACTGCACGTCGCAGGCCTGTAAGTAAAGGTACCACCCACTAATTTTCCGAGGCGTACACCCCGCCGTTAGGGTCTCGTACAACCTGGAACACCTCTTCCACCTCAACCAATGTCCTTCCTAGTCAGACACCCACGACTCGGCCACTTTTGCCAAGCAAGTGAAAAACCTGTCACTAAAATCCTAAAAGTGTCTACTCCTATTTTCTTTATTCTGATTTCCAACTTGAGCATCATACTGTATTAGGCAGGACACCGCACCAGCGTCGAGTTTCCTGGTTGAAGGCTTATTTGCTTCTTAGAGAATCCGAGACACATGGACCACTCCGAAATTCGCCATCAACAACAATATTAAAAAAATTAAAAAAACATTAAATACATTGCAATCTTTGCTCAAACTTCAGTGGCGCCTTAAGAAAACCAACCAAGGTGCTCTGATACCATCTCAAAACAACTATTAGAGGAGTAGTCCGCTTATATTATAAACCTTTGTGAGGTCCTTTATCTACTCAACGTTAGATCCTTGAACAATACGATCATAAACCAACCATAAAAATACACAAGCATGAGACTATCAGCCATTCTCTCTACTTCCAATATACAAACCTCAAATTTTCTCACTTTAAACATCGTGTTGTGTAGAGTCATATCTCGATGAGGCACAATTTAAATAACTTTTTGTTGACAGTATAGTTTCTTTTGTCTCTTTATATGAAAATTGATAAGTTGTTTAGTCAAACAAAGCCCCATAATTAGATGTAGATTGAGGTTTATTAAGAAACAAGTTGGTGTTTAATTAGCACGCTGATTGGATGTGTATTTTTAGT